CAATCTATCTATGTAGTTGTCTTACTTCTTCGTTAGATTGTTTGGTTGACTCTGCACCATAGACCTTGGTCTGCTCGCTAAGTCAAGTTTGTTGTATCCTTTTCTTAATAAACAACGTTATGATTAGTTTATGAGAGAGTGAAATAAGACTTTTTTCATCGAACATCGGCTATAAAATATTCCCATCTTTGATTCTACTCATACAATGTTCAGAAAATTAACATTTTGAAAATTTAACTGCATCACAAAGTCTTTATAAGAAATGGCTACTTCTTCACGCTTAAAACCACATAAGGGTGAGTATCACTTTGTAATATTAAGTTGTTTAATTAAATTGTTACGTTCTTCGAACTTAAAAGAATGTCAGTCTTTTCCGTTGTCTGAAAACAGAACCAATTTTATATTTTCACTCAAATATTCATTTAACAAAGATATAGGCTATGAAATTAGTCTATATTCTGTCAGATTGACAGACCCAGATTAAACTAATTGACAGTTTTTTGACTCCTCTTCAGTTTTTATGACAGTTTAAAATATACAAGTTGTACTCTACGTTGATCTAGTAAAAGTAAATTTAGATTAAAAAAGCAGAATTTAGTTTTATGGAAATATACGGGTCCGAAAATCACTGCTAATAACTATTTATTAGTCTCATATTTATGTTCGCTTAATTGAATTTTAGTCTGTCCTGTTGAAAAAATATAGACTACTCAAGTGCAATACTTGTTAAATGAACATTTGGACTGGAATATAAAACTGGGCCTTTTTTCAATTTTTTGTCTTCTATCACTATCTCGGCAATGCGATCGATTCAAAGCTATTGTGAAATATTCCCTTTAGGAGCTCAGGGTAGATCTTATATACCATTTTATTTTTAGGATTAAGTAAATATGTTTTATATTATTTCGCATCTGATAATACATATTGCGATGATTTAAAATTAAGTGATATTATTGATGAGAAAAATTTATATAAAATACATGGTATTGTTAAAGTTAAATTTGGTAACGATATATATGAAGGTGAAATACTTGGAACATCAGATGATGATGAATTAAAATAATATTATCCAAATAATATAGAAACAAGAAAAAAGTATAATAGAACTATATCAACCGATCAAAATAAAACAATAAAAAGTATAAAAGAAACTAATGAATATAAATTATTGAATGATGCTATTGGACAACAAGATCAAGTATTAACATTCGTGCAAGATATATATGTGACTGTATAAACGTTAGAAAAGAATTTTAGTATACGAAAAAAGTCAATGGGTGAAGATGCTCGAAACTTATCAACAATTGAAAAAAGTAATACTCAATGCACAGAAAAAATGAATGTGTTGGCCAACATGTTCATGTCAATAAGTAATAATAAGAAAAAAACAAATTAAAAATCCTTAATTTTAGAAAGGATTAAATAGGAAATGCGCCACAAATGGGTTATTTTTGAGTCAAAATTAAAAAATGACTAATAAAAATAAGTTTTCCATTCTAACTGTTTAGACTAATTTTACCAGTGAACAAGAGATAGATACAACAATGCTACCAAGTATCAATTAATATAATACTAATGATAGTTTTCAAGTATATTAGGGGTTAAAAACTTGTTTTTGTGTCATACATTGTTATATATTAATAGGATGATCAAGAAATGTATTACCTAGATAATCATCGTACAGATACATCATTTTCAAACGGAAAAGTTCGTATTAAGTTATTATTGCTTCTAAAATCTTTGCAAAGAAAGCTAGTAATGTTTAATTTTCCAGTCAATTGATCCAAAAACAGTAAGTGCAGCAGCAAATTTAGAAGCTGTGTCTGCAATGGTTATGGAAATACCTCAGAATGATAATTACAACGACGAATCATTAGAGGTAACTCCATACAATTCGATTACTGTTTCTCAACGTACAACTGCTTCTAAAGCAAAAATTATTTTCAAATCAAAAAATAAAGTTAAACAAACTTCGCCGCCACCATCACCAATACTTAGCTCAACAACATCAAAACTATCATTATCAGAAGTGACTACAAATGTAAGCATTTAGAATATACATTCTTACTTATCTAAGAAAAATCATTTTGTCGCCTTCAGTATATAGCATAACTAGATTTTTAATCTTTCTCCTAGGCTGTTCACGTATCAGATCCAAATGATCAATCAATTATATATACTATTAACAAACAAAAATATTTATATGCAAAAGAACGCTGCGATAATGATCCCAGTGAAGAAAGTACCAAGCATTTGGTACACGAATTAGTGCTGCAGATATTTACAGCTGAGGAATTGGAATATTGTTCGGTGGATGGCAAAATACAACGGACAAGATCATTTGATACGAGTAAATTCCGTACCATTAACCATCATTTATTTACTCTTTATGGTGTACGCTATTCCACATATAGACAGAGCAAACGTTTTGCTATTGATTTACGTCAAAAACAAAGATCTTTTAAACATACTCAAAAAAGAAAAACTGTTAAACAGTAATTTTTCCTTTCTTCTGTTAATCGTTACACATGAAGCTATATCTGTTTCTTTTCTCAAACCTTGTTTTTGTTCAAATATTTATTCCTAGAAAAATGTTTGTTGAATATAAAATGTTGATGTAGAATAGAACACGGTCCTTCAATTAAGAGATATAAAAAACATCGTAGAAATAAATTGATCAAAAAATTCTAATAGTTCTCATTTATTTCTGATAATAGCTTCTAATTCTAATTCTAGTTTGATAAATTCACTTTTGGTTTTATTTGATATTTAGGTTTATTAAGCTATAAAATAATGAATGGATATGAATAATAATAACTAGATTACTATTAAATTCCTTCTTCGTTGCACGCTATTTTTAAGAGCTAATTATTGCAGCAATATAGTTCAGCAGGATCATTAGTCTATGTAATACCTGAACAAACTCTCTGGTAAAAATGATTCTTACTGCTTGTTTAAGATCATATAAGCAGTGATAGGGCCAAATAGAATATACATATTACCTATAATTAATTAGCACAGTTATACGTACTTTGATATGTTATATATAAGAGTTAATAAAAAGTAATCTATGGAAAAAGATAAATCAAATGGTGAAGAAAAGATGGATTTTATATATTTTCTCTCTTATACAAACATGCAAGAGAAGCTCTTTACATTCTACGATTGTTACGCTTGCTACGATCATAATTTTGACAGCTTCCCTAAGAATTTCATAAGAAAGTGATTTTGTTTTTATTAGTTTCTTATTGAGTGCTTATAAGATTCTTACGAAATTCGGGTAACTTTCGTGTCACTTATATAAGACTCTGGTAAGAATCTTATCCAATTGTTACCAGAAATAACGAAAACTGTTCGTCTAAGGGAACGAAGTAAAAGGACAAATAAATTAAAAATACAACTAAACATATAAACAAAATATGCCTAAACTTCTCACATTTAGAAAAGAGAAGTTTAAAAAGAGTTTTTTTGAACGATAAAATATTTATTCTGTATCCATTATTCACTAGGGTATGAATACGGTACTCATACAGTGATTTCTCAACAACTCAGAACTTGTACCTGAGTACTTGAGTGAGTACTGAAGAATATTTTTTAGTACATTTAGTTAAGAAGTACTCAATTGCGTACTCATGAACTCGAAGTCTTCACATGAGCGCTTATGACTTTTCCATTTACCATTTTGTTTTGCAGTTCCATATGGTATAAAAACACTAACCAAGAATAAAAGGTCATGGCCTTATACAGCGTCTCGGCACATCGCTACTTTTTGGGTGACCTTCTATTGGGAATCAATTTTTGGCCAATTATTAAAAAAAATATTTTTGTAATTTTAATAATTAATTAATTAGTTTTATTTAATATTTAAAGGCACTTTTCACTGAACAAGTGCGCTCTTTTGTGATAACTACACTGTTTATGCGCGGTTTCGCGAAGAAATCGTAGAGAACCAAGTATATTTCCGAAATTATTAATTGATAAATGCATGGCCTTCGAACAAAACAAAAATTCTTGAAATGGACGGAATTGAGGTGTTTGACACGAGAAAGTGACAGTCAATAACCTCATACTGCTAATTTCAAAACAAAAAATAAGTATGATGAGAATTTAGAAAATTCACGTTTATGTACTTAAACATGGCTACTAATGAGTTTTTATAACTACCAAAATACTTACAACTCTTTACTTAAGTACTCAGTTAAGTAGACATTGATGCTACAGTATCAACAGTATTTGGCTAAGTATTGTTATTGATCTTCTACATAACTGTACTCATTGAGTAAATGTTTTTTCGACCAGATTATCCGAATAATATTATGCACATAGAAAAAAACTTTTGCTGTTTCTCATTCGTTTTGCTTGAAAATGCGTGAGATACGCTGTGTGAATGAATACTTGCAGTTTACGTTTGAGTCTAAAGAAATTCAAATAAATGCTTTTTGTACCGGTTCTATAGGTCATACATTCATCTACGCCTCGTAAATATCTTTCTTAACGTCTCTTCTGAGTTAAATTACACTGAGCACTGCCTTCTTTGTTTAAATAACTATTAACTAAGCGAAAGAGATTTCAAACTCGCCCGATTCTTAATTACAGCAGATCCAAAATATTCGATTTTACAGATTTGAAGTTTTAGAGTTATTAAAATAACATGCCTAACTGGGACTGTAAAAGTTCCCGTTGCGTTGATTTAACGCTAACTGACAACACAGTTACCGTTGTTTTAACGATAACTGAGTTTCTGGTTACCCTTGAAATAACGATAACTATCAGTTAGTTAACTTTGTGGTGACTAGTTCTTAATTATGGCAGAAATATTCAGGCAGCTGCTTCAAATGGCTTCCAAAATCGCTAGTTTCCACTAAAACTGTTGAAACTTTCATAAGTGATTTTGGAAGTAGTGGCGTAACCAGGAATCCGTGGGACAGTGGCACCGACAGTGCCCCACGACCTTTAAAAGAAATCCATTCGCGATAGTTTAAATTTTTTCCACAACTAAACTACAGTTGCTCAATTCTCACTTTCTTAAGAGAGAGACAATACACGGTATGTGCACTTTTATTAAGTGAAATTATGTGAACAAAAGAGAAAAAAGAAAATGAAATAAATAAACACATAATAGTTATTTCAACATTATTTGACAAAAATCTTAATGGAAATACTGCGGGTGGCCGGGCGGCGCCTGATCTAGCCCACCCCTGGTTACGCCACTATTT